CCGAATCGCGAAGCTACAGTTCTTTTTCAGAAACTGAATGTAGAAAGTAACATTGTATATAAATAATAATAATATGTAATAAATTGATGAAAAAAATAGAGATACAGATAATATAAAAAAAGTACAGAAAATACAAAAATATACAGATATACAAAAAAGTGAAAAAAAAATTTGATTAGAAGATACAAAAAGTGAAAATTACGTATAATGAATTATATTCACTGTTAAGAGCACATTAAACACATTATTGTTAATTTTTCTACTTATATGTATAAATAATTACCAGTTGAAGTATCGCACGATCTAATCTTATCGAAATTTTTCTTTCAAATTAAAATTTATTTGAATTAGAAGAAATGCTACTTTAATTAAATTATTATGACGTTTTGCAACACGATTGTTTATAACGAAAGTACTTTCTGGTTTTAACGTTTCTACTGTAAAGATCGATCTGAAGGGGTTGAAACGGCTCGGAAATATCGAATGGCTCTCCCGCACTGTTGTTTCGAGGAGAGTGAGATGGTGTGGAAACGTTGGCAGTCTGTGTGCTTCTTTATCGCAGTCGTGAGCAATCGTGAAAGTGAAGGCGAGAAAAGGAGAACTTTATCGGGCATATACAAGTTTAAGATTGCCCGAGCCAATCAAGCTTTGAATTAAGGAAGCCTCTCTCGGGACGGTCTCCATGACTACCACCCTGTCTCTGCATCCCCCCTTCCGTCCTTCCCCAATAATACAGTCTTCCACCCTTACTCATCCCCCTCCCTCCTCCTCTCAACCGGTCTGAGAAAGGTCACGGGGTCATGCTGCGCGAAATCTCCCTGCCGGTGCATTCTAAGCAACTATCATCGGCATCCCTCTGTTGATTATCCGCGATTAACTGATGTCGTGGGATAGCTGAATGTGACAAACTCGCGATTTAATCGAATGAGATTTCCTTCTCAGAAATACCGAAGAGGGAGGCTGACAATCGCCGTCCTCAATTGTCCATTTTTTTTTTTTTTAGGGAAAGAAGGGGAGGGGGTAGAAAAAGATATCTCTCACCTCGAAAGTGTTAATCGAGGTGAGTGAAGATTAATCATTGGAGGCAAAACTCACGCACAGACGCACAAACGCGCTCTCTAGCTCGCTTAATATCGAGAACATGCGTTCTCGTAGAAGACACCGCGCACGGAAAATATAGCGGGAGATCGATAGGCCGCGCGTATAGAGTCCCGTGACCCCCATACACTGGCAGACAGGTGCATGCGCCCCGTGCGATCGTAAGCGCCAAACCCGGCATACGGAATGGAATCAGGTGGTGTATACGAGATGAACGCTCTGATGGCGGACTCGTGTGATGCATTCGAATTTCGTCGATCTTTGATAGAACGAGCATGACGTAACATACAGGCACAGTGAATATGATGAGACGAGATATCGCGGCAGGCATAATTATAATATTCTCCAATTATACATTTGGCAGCAGTGCTTGTTTTTCTTACGAGGGTTGTGTAAAAAGGATAGTAGGAAGTCGCAAAAAATTTGTGACATATTTATTGATATTAATATCTAAATTCTTCCAGATTTTCTGGAAAAGTTTAGTTAGCTTCTAAGAAAATGTATAATAATGTTCAAAATTTTGTAATGGATTTCTAATGAAAGGTTCGATATTGCATGTTAATTTTTAAGAGAACTTTTAAGAAAAGTAATTATTAAACTGTTAAGAACTGAAATAAATTTATATTTTGTATATTTTGTAAAAAATAACATGTTGAAAATATTTTTGAAAAATCTAAACAATCTTATCTCACACAATAATGAAATAATTACAATAGTAAAAGTATAAATATTAATGTAATACAATATAATTACACAGAGAAATACAGGATAAAAAGTTTACATTTTTTCGAAAATGATTAGGATATAGAAAAACATTATTTTTTTTAATGGGATTGTATATT